AAGCCGGTGAACGAGGTCCTCAAGCAGGTCTTCCTCATCTTCCCGCAGTACACCTTTGCCCGAGGCTTCTACGACATGTCTCTGCGGTATGCCATTAGGAATCTGCAGTTGGACAAATTCTTTAACACGGACCTCTTCGGTTGGGACATGCTGGGCGGCAAGATCACTCTGCTGTTGGTGGAGGCAGTCATCTTCTTCGGTGGGGTGCTTCTTGTGGAGTACAAGTCTGCAACCTGTCGGTGTGGTTGCAGAAGGAAAAAAGGTGCGGGAGGTGCTATCGTTGACTCCGGCGACGAGGTGAGGATGGATCCGGATGTGATGGAGGAACGTCTGCGAGTCTATAGGGTGAGTGTTTTTTCCTACAGTAGAGTATTTTGTTCTTACCTGAGAGCTGACGGGGACCGATCTGATTGTTATGACCCGAGAAGCAGGCAGAAAAGAAGGCCAAGAGCCGATTCTGGTGGCAAGGGTTTTATTCAAGGCAAAACAAAGAAAACGGATGTTCTAGCTTGCCCACTCCAGCGTATTTGTATGGTTCTGCTCCTTCTGGAAAAGTCCTGGTCTATGGTGTGTGACAGGTGTTCTGGCCTGCACGCCGATCGATAGTTTGTCACGCTGTATGAGTGGTCGTTACGTATGCACGCTGATCGATAGTTTCCCACACTGTGTGAGCGGTCTTTACGTATGCACGCTGATCGATAATTCCTCATGCCGTTTGAGCGGTCATTAGCATTCACTGTTTGCCTGTGTGTATGACTCAACTCGTGTGTATTGCAGGGGTGTGAGTTAATAGGAAAACCTCTGCCATTACGATCTTCGGGCAGAAGGGGGAGAGAAGAAGAAGGAGGCCAAAGTGGAAGGATTATTTTATTCTGTACAGGGTGTAAGTTAACTCCGGGCGCCAGGGAGTCGGGTTCGGTGTGAGAGCGTGGAGTCGTCACAAAGCAGCTTTTGAGTGAGCCAGCCTCAGGGAGATGGTTGGTCGGACCGAACAGCGGTAGGCCTCATAGTGCATCCAGTCTCGAGAGGCCAGTGGTTGGAGTTTACGACACGTGAAATTAACTGCTCCAGAGGCAAGGCGAGTCGAGACTTGCGACCATGGGACCTCATGTCTGGTGTGTCGCCGGTGGAGTCAATACAAAATGTTCTTGAGCAAATTAATGAGAAGGGCAGTTGGCTAACATACGTAAACTTTAGATACAACATCTCATCGGACCAGTTCATTTATATGGGGATGGGGTTAAAAACGTACGGTCAATAATGTTTACCTTATCACACACATAGTGAGTCATGGGAATAGGGGAAGGAGGGGTTACTAAGCGAAGACTGGTAACACGGCGGAGAAGGTTTGAAGGAACCGATCTGGGGAGCGGGGCAATGAAGGGAGAAGGAGAGAGTGCGTGCAGTTAAGAAACCGGGTTGGTTGAGAATAATATCCAAACCGTCGCCGCTGGGAGGGTTTATAGGAGTTAAGGCTAAGACGGTTAACCCTAACACCTACAATCTTCGAG